CACAAGACTCAAAGCAAACTTAAAATACTCAAAACAGCTTAAAACAACCAAATAAACTTAAACTAGACACTAGGAATGACTTTGGACGAAAATTGATTTTTACTTGAATCAAAACATTTAAAAACACATACTAAAACAGATTCTAACTAATTAGACACACTAAAGTAAAGGGGGATTGAGTTTTGGATGAAGTTGAAACAAACAAACAAGTATGAAAACTAGACAGATTGTAAAACGAATTTGAGAAATAAGATGATCGATGGGATACCTAGAGGCTTTTTCTCCACACATGACATGTATGCAAACAACTCGATTTCCAGTTACTACTTCATTGAATTATAAATGACAATGCCCCAAAATGATGCTTTAACGACACTGGCTTGGATTAGTTCGAACTTTGTTCCTTTTCGGATAACAGGAAGAACTTGTCGAAAGTCTCCCAAATATCATTATTTTCCCCCATATGGTAAGTCAATGTCTGTTAAGTCTCTAAACGTTCGATCAAGTGCTTCAAATGCATGACAATGTGTCATTGTTGCTTCATCCTAGATAATTGCTTTTGCCTTTTGTATTAGCTTTGCTAAATCAGATTGCTTACTGATCGAACACATCGATGATGTTGATATTAAGTGGTATCTTGAATTTAGAATGTGTTGTCCTCCCACCAGGCAATATATTAGCTGCTATTCCAAATGATGTTGTTGCTAATACTATGTGCCCCAACTTTTTCAAGCTTGCTAACAATGCACGATATAAATAAGTTTTTTTCAGTTCCACCAGGACCATCCACAAAAAAAGTTGCATTCTCCGATCATTGAACTGCACCCATTATTGTGTTAAATGTACTTCTTTGGTCATCATTTAAGCTTTCGATTACATCAAGATCTTGTTGTGGAATACCTATGGATATTTCATCTTCAATACATCTTGTCATTCTTGAACTTGATTCAATTCCTCTTGTCATTTAGGGCAAATCATACTCGTTTATACTCTTATTAAATTGAACCAAAAGTGTGTTCAACTCATGCAAAAGTTTGTTAGTAGCAAATGTGAGAGTTATGTTAGTCGTGAAAACATATCCTTGTATCATGGATGGATAGAACTCATCCCATAACCCTCGAACACCAATTGGTGCACAATATACCAATATAGTGACAAATAATCTTCTTAAAGCCGACGACATCTGAATTGTGGAGGCTTCTAGCAAACATTGTCGAATACTGTCATCTCTTTCTAACAAACCTTGTTGTTCTGCTGCCTGCTTTTATGTTGGATGCAAACCCTATTAACTGTTCTCAAGTTTGTGAAGGATGTTGGTCCTCTAACATGATTAAGAAGAATTCGAAGGTAAAATTTTTCGCCTTCAGCAGGTGAAACTGCATATATTCGCCCAATAACCTTGTTACGATTCATTCTTTTATACCACTTTCTTTGAGCTTGAATCCATCTATAATGTGATGGGATCTCCATGTATAAGTACCATTGCGCTTTTGCTTCCACATGATTAAGTGTGAAAAATTCAGTCAACATTGTCTTTTTGGTACTCTCATCATATAGAATATTTGTTATACTCTCGTCGGCACGAAACTGAACTTGGTGCATATTAGGAAGATGTATTTGCAATCGCTCAACAGATGGGTAAATTCAATTCATAATGAACTTGAATATCTTTCATAATGCCTCTGGTGCGCAAACCCACCTTGCATCCTGAAACTGCTTTATTTCATCGTATTCAGGGTCTGATTGCACTTCGATTGTCACTCTATCTGGGCCTTTGTAAACATACTTAAATAAGTACTTGACACTTTTTATGCTTGCACAAATTTCAACATTGATGTGATAATCATACCTTAATAGCAACCATGGATTATATGGAATGACCCAACTATTATCAACCATTATGTTTCCTTGTCAATCAAGTGAGACAGGCAATCAATTTCCTCGTCTTTGATAAATTGGATACGAATCATTCCCTTGAACAGTGACTGGTGCAAATGGTTTGGGAAACTTTCTCTTACAACTCCCATTTTTCATACATGGAGATTAAGGATTATGAACCCCACACGGGCCATAAATCATATGCTTTAACACCACATTATAAAGTTGAGGCTCTAGGTCTTTGTTTGGTATTTTAACTCTAACAATTCGGTCATACTCATCTGGGTTATTGATCTTATCATTTTCATCTAAAACCACCAATGTATGCACATGTGGAAGACCACTTTTCTGAAACTCAATAACAAATGCGTAATCAACAACAATGCCAAGTACCCCCTTTTCAATGATGTCTTCTTTTAGTTGCTCAAGTTTTACACGAAATACTCTAGTGAATAAGTCAGGATGATCTTGTGGTGTTTGTCCAGCGAGTAATTCGCTTTTGATTTCTTCCCAACTTGGGTTACATGTCATGGTAATAAAAAGATCTGGCTTTCCGAATCTTTGAACTAGAGTCATTACGTCTTGATATCGTTGGTACATGTCACGTGGGCTTCCAACAAATGATGATGGTAAAATAATTCTACACTCTATGCTACCTAATAATTTTTTATTTTCAATTAGTAGCTATATATATTGTAAACACTTTGAACAAAGTTATATTCCTAAATACTAATGACTTAAGCGATATATATATATATCCCTGCATTGTGTTGACATGCATTTAAAGAGTCTTCAAGTCCTTTGTAGAGATCCGCTCTAACTGTGGCTTGATTAGAACGCAACCATCTAAGTTTTTGTGATTCAATTTTAATGTAGTTATCTACAACATATTGTTGCAAGAGACATCCATCTCGAAGCAAAAGTGATGATCCATTATGGCGTATCAGCAAAAGCAAATTTTTGTATATTGCTTTTAATATGAGAATCATCATTCATCTATATATATACTGGGAAGTAAATTATGATATCGGTACAAACCTGTAACATATAAGCATAATAGTCGCAACATGTTATTGCTCTTCCACCATCATCATGACTATTAACATTCCAACCATATGTACCGTAAGGTAGCAATAATGGATATTGTAACGGATCATAAAATCCAACATAGTCTTGGACATGAGAAAGTCTTCCACTAATTGTCTCCACCACGATATCCCTTCCATTTGGAATTGTGGCATTATCTCCATCTATTATAATTGCCACAACTTGTGATGTTGATGGTAGACTATACTGACGTCGATTTCTTGGTTGCTCTTTTAGGATCAACTTGCAATTCGGCAAATCTTGGTGTTGTCCAAGGCTTTGCAATGTATGAACAAAAGGATTATGGTTGTTCACATATTCGGTTTTCAACTTCATGCTCAGTGTCATATATATAAGCTTGTAAAAATCGCGGTATGTTCCCTTCATTTGGTAAAAGTCCACCAATCTTATGATATAATGCACCTTGAGCAAAAAAATGTGTAAATCCCAGGACCACCAAATTTATTCTTTCATCCACGTATACTCCCATTGAAGTGAATGCAAATGCGTGATTGTAAGCTCGAATATGTTGCCTAAAGTGTCTACCCTCATTTGTTTGGTCAAAGAAAAGAGCAACAATTTCTGATGGATACTGTATTAGGGGTAAAGCAATTCTTCCTTTCAAGCAACACATATTCAAAGTTTCTCGAGTAAACAATTGTGCATAGCAGTACAGACATGTGGTTGGAGTAGGTAATTGGCAACCTAGGATACCCCGATTCTCATTATAATTTCTAGCACAATTGTGGTTTTTTCTTCCTCTACTTTGGTGCACATGACGATTGGTTTTATTTGCATGTTCTTCTTCTAATATTTTTACATGAATATCCAACACTCAGTATAAGAATTCTATTTGTAACTAATAATATATCTATATATAGATAGAATGATATAATAAGCTCACCATTATGGGGAGGAATTGAGCACATCCCATCAGATATTTGTGACCTATTTGAATGTGTCAATTGTCCTATATGAGTACGCATTCTAGCAGAAGTTTGGTCATCACGATTTGTATATCTGACAAAAACCCTTGAACTCGCGCTTTCATGCTCAATTTGTTCTAATAAATAGACCACATTATAATATGATTAGTTAAAAAATTTGTGTTTAATATTTAATATATTTAGTTGTGAGTCTAATATTTCGTAAGACTACCACTAAAAATAACTACAACATTGAGATCAATATGAGAGTATCGAACAAAAGAATAAAATGAGATTTCAATTCACAAAATAGTGTTCTAAAATATTACCTAATTTTTTAAGTGTGAAACAAATACAAATAAAGAAATTGAAATAAATACCATGAATTTGTTGTTGTATATTACCAGGGTCGACCTCAACATCATAGTTAGCCAATTGAACTCGTTCTTGTATATTACTGGGACCTACTTGTTGCATAGTTCAAAAAATAATTAGAAATTAGAAATTAGATTTTTTTTTTTTTTTTTTTTTTTTTTTTTTGCATTAGTTGAGTTAAAGAAAAAAGAATATGAAATAAATACCATTGGCCATTTAGAAATATCTTAATAGTGGTTTGAGCTGTTGATTCAAATTCGTTGTTAGCAAGAATCTAATATAAGACATCTCGCTTATAAATGAATAGGAATACTATTAAACTGTAGTAGTAAGTGCATTGAGTTTGTCTTTTAACTCGCAATTTGCTGCAAGTACATAAATATACATCCATCGCCTGATCACATCGGATTTTTGTTCTGTGATTTCCACACTTTTCTCCCGGATACATCAAGACAGATTTGGATCCTCTCCTGAGCTTAGCCTGCTGAGCCTCTTGAACAAATCACACAGACCGTTAGATTTTGATCCTACAGCTACAATTATTTATAACTTTTAGAAAACCTCCATATGTAACCATTAAATCAAAATCCAACGGTCTTGTGAATTGCTAAGAAGGCTCAATAGACTGAACTCAACTCAGGAGAGAATCCAAATCCCATCAAGACACAGGAAAAAGTACATATGCAGACGAAAAAAATAAGTGCGCGAAAATCATCTGCATCAGCGAGCGAGCAATAAAACCAAAAGCATCATACCACATTTAATTATCAAAATGTGATGAACAAAATCGAATCAAATCTACTATGGCATCGTGCAACGAAATAAAAGCAAAAGCATCAAATTATTTATAATGCAGCATCCTCACGACGTCGTCGTCGTCATCGTCATCGTCATCAACATTCAACAGGCACACCAAAGGGGCTAAGCTTAATTAGGTTTTATAGAATATTTATGAGTTTGATTCTCTCGGAGGAGAGATAGATTTGATAGGATAATCGAGGCAGGCGGTACAGGTCCGTCAGATGAACAGACAGAAACAACAGCTTCAGCTGCATCTATTCCTCCTCTTCTGCCTCCTCCAGCCAGTTCACCAATGGCTCCAGGGCCTTCACAAAAGTTTGCCTGCACACATTCATTTTCCGTTATTTCACAGTTACAAATAACACAATAAACCCGATGTAAACAACAAACAAAACGCATTGATTATCGAACTCTGATATTTTAAAGTTGAAACAAAAAGCATACCTGCCCTTGGGGTTTGTTCCCTTGCGGAACCAATGGAGAATGGTGTCTTCTGCAAGCACATCCTCGTCATAGAGGGACTTTACAATATCAGGGAAAAGCTTCATCAGCTTAGCATCCTCATAGCACTGCATCTGAACCTTGTACATCAGTTCCAGCTCAAGCTTCCCATTCGTGCAAAAGGTGTTCAGCAGTTCTGCCCATGTTTTCACCTGCATATGTATTGTATATAAGTTAAACCATAGCCATTTATTTATGTGCACCAAGTACTATGGTGTTAGCAACTAAATAACCGATTTCTGAAAACTACAGTGATCTAATATCTCAAAGTAATCAATTTGGAGGATGGTGCGTAAAACAAGCACAGCCTTAGATCTACAAAGAACAAGCTTGGGAATATGAAAGAAACAAAACCAATAAGTTGAAATCCTAAACACATCAGATTGGAATGCTATATCTATACTACTCTAGGTAGAACAAAGTCATTCACTATCCTACATGAACATAAGAACCGATTTCTTTCTTTGAACTACATGAACAAAAGATTAAAAAAATCTTAGTTCTGTTTTTATTTGTTTTAAAGTTATACCAACTTAACTCGTCATGGTTAACTACTTAAACTCCTACATTGGTCCCTTTACGAGTGTGCCAAACCTGAACTTTAAAGCTGAAGGATGAACTCGAAAGTTTCCCATTGGATTTCCACTCTATTTTTAACTCTCTATATATATATAACAAGGGGTAGAGCTGGAGAATCTCCCTCCCCTGCTAGGCTAACTACGGTTTCTTGTTTGAAATTCCAGGTCACAGAACACAGAAATTATCTAGGTATCAAGCGATTATAAGACTAACGTATACCTGGCGAAGAGCTGCATTAGCATTCTGCTGCTGGTTCTTACCAGACCACTGCACAGCGTCCATAATGACATCCCACAGAATTCGCACAACTTCAACATCGGGCAATTTGGCGTCTTTAACACGCTGCTTCACAGTCTCAATGACTTCAGACATATCGGTTTCCTCTGTTATCTGGGTTGTTAAAGCAGATTTCATTTCCTTAAGCTTCACTTCGAAAATTTTCTTCTCGTTGTACTCAACTAAGGCAACTAGCCCTTCCTTTCTGAAAATTGGTAAAAATAAGCACCAAATTATGTGTCAGTTAAACAACCTTTTCATTTTGTTACAAGGTGTGAATATCACAAAATGGATGTTCAAGTTAACACATACTTCACATGAAACCCATCAATGAGCAATTGACAATTAAAAATCACATCAACATTTACGTTAAGATGTATTATCATGGAGTGACAAACCAAAGGGACTACTAGGTAAGAATACTTTCAACGCATAATCAAATTTCATATTAAAATTGACTGATGATAATGACTACACGAAAATCAACTAATTTTATATCTTAAGAGAAAAACAAAAACTCTTAAATATATTTCAGAGATCATACAGAAAGATGAATCAACTATAAGACAAAATCTAGCAACTAAAACATTGCAGTTGGCTGAACAAATCAGGGATTGCAGCTACTTCAGAATCTCAGTCATCCAAATTGTATAAAGATACTACAGGACATCAAAAGCATCAGCTATATCTTAAAAAACAAAAATGAGTCTTATCTGACAAGCTGGTCCATAATAAAATTCTATAACAGATCAAACTTACGTGAAATGCTCAGAGAAACTCTCTTCGGTTCTCTTTGCGGAAGGGAAGAATTCCAAAAGATTGTCCTCCACTTTACCCCGCTTCAGAATGGAAATCAAATCATCAAGACTATTATCAATCAAATACTCCTTGAAAAACTCAGTAATGAACGATAGAACTAGCCCTTTGCCAACAAGATTATCCTTGAGCATTGGCTGGAACACCGTTTCTGGTGGAAGTCCTGACAGCTTCTGAGAGAATGCAAGTGCTGTGAAAATAGCCAGCTTCTTCCTTTCATTTTCCTCAAAAAGCTCCAACGATTGAAGGAATCGTCGCATAACATTTTCGAGATTCTTAATCAGAAATGGCCTCCGCCTCAAAATTTTCTGAATGTAGATAACCGATGGCAAGATGAGTTCACGTGTAGGCTCAGACTCTAGTACAGAGTAAGGGTGGCGCTCCCCCTCATCAGGTTTTGTTGTTCCAGGTTGTGTACGGCCTCCAGTGAAAACAACCTACAGTAAATCCTCCAGTCAATTTTATACCACATCACAAACACTTTATCTAAGGTAGCATCCACAAGAAACAAAAAGTGCCTAGAGTATTATGAAGCTTGCCTCAAAAAAGGTGTCACCGTATCTTGAGAAGTTAAGGTCTGAAGATTCAATGCTCTTGGCAATAAGTTCCTGCACAAAGCAGATACTTGTTAGTTTTAACAGATAATTAAGTAATAAGTACGCACATGCATACAGATACAAATGATAAGATCATTTATGCATAACTAAATGTTACCAGATCACCAGCATTATCCAGATAAATCTGGACCACTGCATCCGCAAAAGCTGCAGGGTCCAGCGGCGCTGCAATATTCCGTTTGCGGGTTTTAATCCGCGTGCCACTGTAATCACATTGCCAGCATAATCAATTTCATTTAATTGAGTAGAGGCTGATGCAACAACACATTTTACCGTCTTTACAAAAGGTCATAGGTTATAACTAACTAAAATTGATAAAAGTTCCTTCTTTAACAAACAATATAGTTATCAGTTAGATAAACCTTGATTCTGAAACGTAAGAATAACATGAAAGCATATACGAAGAACACAGAGGGTAAATCTGATGAGACAAAATATGACGAAGACTTACCCAAGAGTGGGTCTCTCCTTCGAGCTGCAGGTACAAAAAGACAGAAAATCTCAATTAGTATAATTTAATGACTATTTAGCTATAAATTTCTAACCTTCACAACCCAGATAAATTTATTAAGAAGACCAATTGTGAAGACCTTTCAAAAATTATAATTTACGTTCTGTATAAAGGCAAAAGTGCAAAACCTAACACTAAAAGTTTCAGTTTTACCTGACCCCCACCACCCAAGCAAAAAGGAAAAGATTTACAATTTCACTACAATTAACATCCTAATTCACACCACAAGAAACTGGATCAAAACGAAAAAGGAACAGAAAAACAAGAAATACATCTCAAATTTGGATTAATTCCAGAAAGACCCAAATAATAATAAAGTAAATGTAACATATAAAGAGCAACCAAAAAGATTGAGCAAAACCCTCCACGAAATTCCAACCTAAACAAAGAATCCAATCAAAGAAACAAAATTTCCACGAAAAATCCGATTTTTAGGTAAATAACCAGATCTGTGACTCAAAACATACAAACTTTTCAATAAGATTTTAACCTAAAACGCAGAGATCAAACAGTAGAAATAGAACGGAAATATCGATAGAGAGAGATGAAGAGAGAGAAGGTACCTCATAAACCAAGACGAAGAGGGATCGGAGGGCGGTGAGGTCTCTGGGCGTCGAGAGCTTTTTTCGAAGAGAGAGGCGAGAGGGAGTGGGAAAGAGTTATGAGAAGAGGGGTGATGCGGTTTTGGTCCCTGGACACTGATATTTATGAGAGAGAGAGAGAGAGGAACAAAAAACAAAAAGCAAAAACAAAACCAAAAGTAGTTTCAACTACAAGGCGACTTGAGGTTACAAGTTACAACTTACAAGGTACAAACTAATTTATCAGTCATTCAATACTACGATTTAACGGTATTTTTTTTCATTTAAAAGTGAGAGGTTCTATATTTGAATCTTATGAATAACGAATTCGATATCAAATTAGGCTGTCCATTATGTAGCTTAACCAAATCTCTCCTCCTCTTAATGTAAAAATATCGATGTACTTATAAAAAATAAAAATAAATAAATACTAATTTATCTAGAGAGACTCTTTTTTTTTTTTGAGTGAAGTTAATTTAGAGAGACTTTTTTAAATCGAGATTTTTTATGGACTAATTTAACGTAATTTTCATGCTTATATTATAAAATATTATGCAAAAGTATAAAGTGATTGGAAGTTCTTAAAGGAATTTCGCTTTTGAGAGTCTCTTTAACATGGAATATTCCGTGATCGTGACCGTTTATCGTATATCATGCGGTCAGAAATCATTTCAAAATTTAAAATTTAAAGTTAAATATAAATAATACCGAACGAAAATTGATCGCACGATGAACGATGAATGGTCACAACCACATAAGCCAGCGAGAATCCTTTTCCCTTTTAACATTTCTCATTTCTCAATTAACTGTGTTCTTTTAAAACTTTTTTTCTCGTTTTCTTCAAAAACAAAAAACAAAAAAAAAAACTTTTTTTCTCGTTACATGTTCTATTCACATACAAATTAAAATGGTTTTATTTGTAAAGAGTTCAACATTATAGTATGACTATTGTAGCTTTGTGTAACGAGTATTTCATAATTATTACAATTCATCGAGGGAAGTGAATTTTCACATCTTTAGTTTAACATCTCGCATTTTTTTTATGATTATTGGATTAAATGAGTTAAACGAAATCAACGATCATGATTAAATATAACTGTGTAAAAAGTTAAAAATGATGTTCATTGACATGTCAGTTATTAATTATTGAGTAGGTCAAATGGCAATTTTGTTTTGTTTTGTTTTGTTTTCTTCATCGGCCCTATGCTACTAGTTGTGCGGTTTAACCTTTCCTATAAGGTAAAAAGACGTCATTTCGGTCACATTACAAGTAAATAATATTGTAAATCTAGTTTGTTTTCAAGTATAGTGATGTTTTAGAAGAGAGAATTAATGCAATTCTCTTGTTCGAGTAGCTTAACTCTTAGTTTTATCTTTATTTTGATGAAAATTCTATAATAGATCGACGTATACAATGTACTTTTGGATCAGTTGGTTGGATTAGTATGATGAGACTTTAATTACATTCAAATAATAGTGCATCTCATACACGAGTATACTGTAGAACAACCCCATTTTTAATAAAGAAAATAATAGAATTGATCAAAATTTTGGTTGAGAAAATCATTGGCTTGTAGATGTAGTTGTAGGTTGGCTTCTTTGTGCAAACGAAGCATATGTGGTATGAAATCTGACATCAGATTCTGCCTTACAAATGAAATACGGGAGTGCAGTACAGTTGAGCACAGCAAAAGGCAAAAAGGCCCTTTGAATTTTGACCACCGCCCCTATCTTTTTCTATCCTTTTTCTCATCCTTTTAACCCTGCCACAAATCGACATCATCGATGATTCAACCTTTTTTCTTTCAAGGTTGGTAAAATCATCATGCTTACAAATGTTTTGCTACTCCGGAATATCTTTATGAAACTTTAACGAAAAATTCCCGGTATTGTTTACTTCAACGAAAAATCATATTTTTACACACAAAAAAGTCAATCCTGATACTATTCACTTTACCATTTATTTTGTCCTTATCGTTAAAACTCAAAGTTTTCAAACTTTTTTCATTAGTTTTCCTTATCTTTATATCTTAAACTTTTAACTGATAGATATTTGATTATTTTAGTTTTAACTAAGGATTTCAAGGTTAAAAAAATCGCCTTTTTAGTGACATTTCCCTTCATTTATAAGAGAGAAGTCTTAAGTTCGATTCTCGTAAAAAAAGAATTTGAACCACATTTACATATTGTGAGAGTTAACTCATTTCCATACCCCTTGGTGTAGATTATATCATAATGGGACGGCAAGGGGGAAAACAAAAGCCCTTAATCCGGGGCCATATGAATGGTAATGCATTTCTAAAGGAATGAGGTTACCGAGCTATGCGATCGGATCACCTACGGCTATCAGTCTGTTGCTTCCTCCTAAAATCACGACAGGGTTAAGCTTAAACACCCACTTAATTAGTCATTAATCTATCCTTTTAAGGTTAGGCTAATCCCATCCTTGTTTTCTGGAAGGTAGAAGCAGTCCGGTTGGTTCCATATGCAATATATAACTTTCCTAATCCTAAGAAAGTGATAGCAAAATGAGCACATAACCAAAACCATTTGAGTTTTACCTCGCGACGTTTGCATAATGACCAGAATTTCCAAAGTGACAAATGAAATATAAATCTACTACTATCATGCATTACCATTCTATATTACCATGCCATGAGGAGAAGGGAAGGGAACAATGTGAAGTAATGAATCGAAACTACAGTGTATGAAACCGCATTACGATACTCGATGTTAATTTCTAATTCACACAAACCAATCAAGAATTATGCTGGAATCTACCCAACAGTTTGGTTGAATTGTACAATTCGATTTCCGAAAGTTAACAACCAATTTGACAGAAAACTTTGGTCGCCGGGAGAAGACAACCTTTTTCTTCTACATGATCATGTTGCAGTACCATGACTTCATTTTAGAGCACAAGTAAAGGAGAAGTGAAGAATATACACAAGTATCTATATGTGAGCAGCAGTCAACTCACAGTTCAACTAAGAGCCACAATTAACCATGAGATAGTACTGCAAAATGGAAACTCCGAGCACCAAACATTCGACTACTACCCTAAACATTTCCTTTTTACTAACTGACTTAGCCCTGGTTTGGTACTGAGATGATTCTGAAAAAAGTGGCTATCAAAAAAAGCTCCCAGCTTTTTTATGTTTGGTAAACATGCAGCTTTAGCTTTTTTTCACAGTTTTTGGTGAAAAAAAGCCAAAAACACAAAGCTGCAAAACCCAGCTTTGAAAAACTAGCTTTTTTTCACATCTGTTTTACATAAAAGTTTATCAAACACTATAATGCTGCTTGTTTTTTTCAAAAGCACTTCTACAAAAAGGTTTACCAAACACTCTGCTGCTTTATTTCACAACTGCTTATTCTCACAGCACAGTAGAACCAGTTTTTTTTCAAAGCACATCAATACCAAACCAGCCCTTACACATATAATTGACAAGAAGCCACACAGAAACAAACAATGATAGGTTTTCTCAAATCTCCAATGTGGGATTCTTATTTTCTTCAACGTTAGGAACTTAAAACACCACGAACTCTTCTAATTCTAGTACGAGCTCAAACTTTGGCCTTTACATTTCACCTTATCGTAAGTTATTATTAGCACCAACAATCTAAAATTATTGTTAAAGCTTCTCAGAGCAACAGTGAAATCAACCTCCATTTCTTCTGTATCAACAAATTCAAATTATTCGTACCAATATAAATTACTAGTAGTAATTTACTACTGCAGTCAAATCTTCAAAAATTGGGTCAAAAAGTTACCAGTGAGGACATTCATCAAACACATTGCGTACCCATTTCTCCAAACTCAAAACGTGAACCTCCAATCCAAGTTGAGGAAATTAACAAAAACAAAACATACAAAACTGGGGTACTTGTATTGGTGTCGAACAAACCTACGGCTTCTCTTCTCGAATCAGTTCACTGGACTGAGTCGAACTGTCCGCCATCAGTGTCTCCGTGTCGTGTTGCTGCGGCTGCGGCTGATGCTCGGTGTTGGTAAGAGTTTCCATGTCCCTCATCCTTGTCCTCACCACACTGGTAACAAGTACTGCAACAACAACAAAAACACACCCAATTATGTAAAAATGTGAAATTGTAGAGAGAGAAAGAAATCAAGAGAGAGATAGAGAGAGTACCGGCGGCGGTTCCAAGTGTCCAGACCCAGAGGATCTTCAAGCCGGGACTCAACTCTCTTCGCATATTACTCTATTTCTGCTTTGTTTCCTGCATTTGGTTTTGCTCGACAGTCAATTTCGTGAGTGTGTGTTGTGATATCTCGGAATCTCTTCGAGTGATCAACTTTGCCGAAAGCTCGACCCGTGATTTTGCTCTGCAGGGTTGAGTCGGGTTTTTTCTGTGGACAAATTGCAGGGCCCAACTCTCGAGTTTTGGGTTAGGGAAAGCCTAAGGACCCTTAAACTTGGCGCCAATAGGCCCGCTTCGTGTCCTTATGGATCTGTTACACATTTTGCCCCATAAATTATTAATAGATAATAACATCAAAATAATTGTTATTAACATTTTAAAATTTTCGTTGTGTAATCTAAATTTTGAATAAATAATACATTTGTGGGAAGTTTATAATATAAATTTTGGAGTACCAATATAATTCCCTTATAGAAATTAAAATTATTAATTTAATGAAATTTTTTGGTTATTGTACCTAACATATACAAAATAAGGAGGAGATCATCTCCGAATATTTTCTACCAAGGCCACCAGATCAAGTGATCCGAGCTTTTAAAAATTCATCTAACGGCCCACCTGTTTTGACCCCTTAAGAGCTATAATAATTTTTTGTTGTTAGATGAAATTTCAAGGGCCCATATCACTCGATCCGGTGGCCTTCGTAGAAGAGATTCGGAGAGGATCTCTTCTCCAAAATAAGATTCACCCTGGATCTTTATGTCCAAAGTTCGTAGATCGAGAAATCCGGATCGTTTAAGAAAGAGAAAAAGAGATTCGTGTCATTCAAGTTTTTGAGTTTTGTAAAGTGATCCAATAAGATGGGCTAATAGAGGACATTTGATTGAAATTGAATAGTCCAAATCTCTTAATCAGTGAACTCCAAATATAAAAATCCGAAGTGAATCTCAATCCAAATACTATTGAGGCTTGCTTACAATTAGGCTCATAAATATGATGTGACACCTATAAAAGAAGCTAGATTCGTTGTTTTGGGGAGATTCTCTCCTTGCAAATGACCACGAAACCAACCTATACAAGTTATATTTCTTAGGAGTTTTGACATCGAATCACTCAATGACAACCTGATTTTTTTCGTAAAGAAAAATATTGAGATTTATTATATTTTAATGTTGTTTTTTAATATTTGAAATAAAAAGAAAACAAGTTGAAGAATCAAATCTCTTTGACTAACTTGATATATTCTTTGATTTTGTTGGTTCTCAACATTTCCCCCAGAAAACAGCGCTGTAATTTGTAATGTCCAAATGAAAATGCAAACAAATTTGGTGCATTTGACATAGGCCGGGATGACAAAGATGGTGGTTCGGTATGGGATACCGAACCGAAACCCGTGTTCCGATTTCCAAACCAAAATTTTTGGGAATTCCAAATCAAAAACCGATCCCAAACCAATTTTTTTGGAATCCCAATTTTTGGGAATTCTGAAATAATTTCAGGATTTCAGGATAAATCGGGAATCCAGAAATGATTTTGGGCTTTTGGACTAAAATTTGACATATTATGTTTTGGGCTAAAATTCAATCTTTTATATTGGGCTGTCAATCTGTTGCAAACTAAATTTTCTTAATAAATTTCATAGGCCATTGTAAGTTACAAGTATACAACTAAACCAATCTGTTGCAATAAAAATAAATTTAATTTGTGCACAAATTAAATTTCATGGAGGACCTGAGCATCAAAATTCCCATGCACACACAGACACACATATATACATTCACACCAGGAAGGATAAATCATACACAATTTATATGCAACGGTTGAGATTAAATCTCAACAAAATCCAACGACTATTAAAATTCTAAATATATATTTAAAATTTAAATAATATATATATATTTTCGGTTCGGTTTGGGATTACCGAAATCCCAAAAACTTGAGACCGATTCCCGTAACTAAATTTTGAGATCGGTTCGGTATTGGGTACCGAAATTTTCGGGAATTTCGATTTGGGATTTTTGGGATTTTTTTCCAGCCCTAAAGATGATTAAGCCACAACAAGTTGGCTCATATGACTACTTGCATTAGGCCATCTCCAATCGTCCCGTCCAAAGGATTATAAGACTAAAAATAGCTCGGAATGACACAAAAATCATCTCCAGCCGAGGGCTAGGCCAAAGGACTTATGGGCCCCACCAGGTCCAAACCCCTAAATTAGGTAAGCGGGTTGGCCATTTTTAACCCTCCAGCGTCAGAATGTCAAGCTTGACGTTAGCTTGACGTCAGAATGCCAACCCTCCAGCTCAACCCATTTGAATGCCAACGTCTACCTGGCGTCAGCATGACGTTAGCTAGCCGCCGTCAGGTTATCGTTGGAATTTGAAGTTTTTTTTTGACGAATTTAAAAAAAAAATCGAACTTTTTGTTCTATAAATACCTATATCATTCCTACAACATTGAAAGCCGAAGATAAGAAGTGCAACGTAGATAAGAATCCTATTTAAAATTTGCACAACTAATTACATCTCGACACGTAACACTCGAAATCTTATCCGAAAATTTATTAAGATTATATAAAGATAAGAAATCTAGAGAGTTACTCACTTTAGCGACATGTGTCACTCGAAATCCTATCCGAAAAATTTATTGAAATTACATAAAGATAAGAAATCTGGAGAGTTACTCAAGTTAGCGACACGTATCACTCGAAATTATATCAAAAAAATTATTGAGATTATATAAAGATAAGAAATCTGGAGGTTTATTCATTTGACCACAAGTGGCACTCAAAATATGTCCGAAAACCTTATTTTAATATGGTAATTTAATTTAATTAATCATATTAATTTAATTAAAATAATAAATTATGTTTGGCCTATGACCATTTAGCCCCCTTGGTTGGAGATGATTTTTTGTCAAATGACTATTTTTGGCTTATGGCACTTTGTCCCCATCTGTTGGAGATGGTATTAAATATGGCCTAATACTATTTATTAAAATATAATTTCTTGTATAGTTATAGGGTTAAAAGGAGCCATTTGGTATTTCTTGGGTTGGAGATGACCTTACGACCCTTCACCAAACAAAAATTCAACCCGTAATTTTTGTATGTATATAGTACGCCCATATGCTTCATATATGCAAATATAAGAAACAGCAAATGTGATCCACAATCTTTAAAGAAAGGGATCACTAATTTTTTTTTTTTCAAAAAATAGGGATTAGTTGTGGGGTCCACATCATTTTGAATTTTAACGATCCAAAGTATTTATTTTTCAAGTTTCACCTCATAAATCATTTTTACAAAATAGACAAATCAGAAATGTTCGAGACATCTAATTAAATTAAAAGATGAACATTACGTTTTAAGAAACACTGAAATTTCATCGTGACAATTAAATAGAAAAATGACTTTGGATTGAATTTAATTTTGCATAGATGATCTATAAATCAAAACTTACAAAATAGACGATTTGGTTCGTTCAAGTTCGATGTGCAATGAGTCATTCCTTAAAATGGCCTAATATATGATAAACTTAAAGGAATGCACCAAAATATAAGAAACTAAATCAACCGAAGAATCTCTAGAAAAAAAAATTGTGTGTTAGCGTTGCGATGGTGGTATTTGTGTGATAGATTTACGAAAATATAGATTCTTGTCTATTTTAGTGTTTGAATGTACATACCCTTTCTTGGTTTAAGAGTTATCCTAAAAAACATATTAAACTCGACAGAATAAGCACTATCCTATGGATCAATCCTTCAAGATTCTCCATTTTGTGTGAAACGAAATGTGAACAACAAAATGAGCCCACATAAACTTGAAGATCCATGCCCTCGTCAGTCGTCTCGTCACCCACCATCTTATTTTATTTGTTAATTTTTTATTTTTTGAACAAAAGATATTGTAGAAAATGTAGGTTAAGCTTCATAATGAGCTAGCAATAATGTGATTCAAATTTATTTTTGGCGAGAATCAAACACAAGACGTCTTATAAACAAGTGATGAGGAATACTATTCGACCGTGACTATTTTATTTGTAATTAATTTCTGTTTCTTTTGTTTGCTATTAATTTGGCTTTGGTAACTTATTAATATATATATATATTGTTTTAGATTAAGTGGTATGGTAAAGACGAATATAGGAGAGCTAAACAAGAAATAATAGTTTGATGATGAAGTGCATCTGTCAAAGATAGCTGGTTGGCTGCCTTAATTGGCTGGTCAATTTTGGCCAACTCACATAAACCAACAACTTACACAACAATTAGCAATACCATACTTTTGACTTTATTAGTTTAGCACCCCAAATCATCCATCATGTACCACGTTTTTCATATTAATCAAAATTTCCATATTTTTTTGGCGCTGTTACTGTATATCATGTTTGTTTCCTACTCAAAATTGTTGGACTTTTACAATTATTACTTCAGTAGATATTTCAAATTTACAACAAAAAGACTTACTAATCTCTTTTAAATCTCGTGTCTTATCATATAAAAGAAAAAATGATAGCAAGAACCAAACATTTATTGGAGTCACGAATCTTATTAATTTTAATTGAAAATCTAGCATAAGGATTTATTTTGTTGTTGATAAAATAAAAGTTTAATTAGAAATTTTTATTACCAAATCTTTTCCTACCATTTGTGGATCGAATAATAATGGTCGGTAAAGGGCAATGATTTGCAGAATTAAATTTGATATAAAAAGTGTACCAAAATTAGATTAAAGCGGAGACTTCTATATATTCACTGCTCCATTCCAATTTCCAATGAGCCTCTCCACTGCTCGCCTTCTCCACACTCTCTCCTTCCTTCCCAAATCTCATCCTCCTCTCTTCTCATCCCCTGCCACTCCAACCTTTCTCTTCTCCAAGCCCTCCGCCTTCCCCTCCCTCTCCGCCAGGCTGTCTCTGTCTTTTCACAGTTCCACCATGGGCGACGCTCCTGACGCCGGCATGGACGCCGTCCAGCGACGCCTCATGTTCGAAGACGAGTAAGTCCCTCTCCCCCCCCCCCCACTTTGCCCCTGACTTATGTTCATATTCGCGCTTTTACCGTTTTCTTTCTTTTTTTTCGGTTGTTTTGGTTGATCTGTTTTGTAATTTGCTCTGTTTTTTTTTTCTGCTCAGGAAATACCGGAACAGTAAATAAAATGAAAGTCGTAGGCTTTTTCTATTTTGTTTCCTAAATTGCGGCTCTTTTTTCAAATTTATATTCTGTTGATTGTTCTGTTGTGGTCTGTTTGGTTGCTCAGAATTTGAAACAGATGAATAAACGAATACTTTGTCCAAAGTAACCGTTAACTTTCTTTACAATTACTCCAGTTTCTGATTAACCAAACAGAGGATAACATAGTCGAGAGGAAATTATAAGTGGATGGACAAAAATGTATGTATAAGCCGAGCTATGATACTTGAGCTCGACTCGAGCTTGTGTTCAATTTAAATGAGGCTACATACATCTGATCCGAAAAGCCGAATTGGTTAAGAAACGATTGAACCGGAGCTGAGATCGATTATCAAAAGCTTTCCCCTTTAGTTTCTTCCCCTTGCTAAAAACATTTTGATATGAGAATATCAATTACCTGTGATTTCAATTCATTTCGCGTCGGAATGGAATTTAGGGTAAGAAGGCAGTTCCCCCGGATGAGCATCAGGTGGCAATGCCATCCGTTCAATCAGTGCTGCCTCTTGTCCTTTTCCGATTTTAACCTTTTGTACGGTCCAATGTATATTCAGGTGTTAGTCATTCCTGGGAGCTGACGATCTGTTTTATTCGAATTTCTGCAGATGTATTCTGGTGGATGAGAATGATCGTGTTGTTGGTCACGATACCAAGTACAATTGTAAGTACTTTTGCTTGCTAATACCTTCTCGTTGCGAGATTTCAATGTGATAAATTTTTTTATGTTTAGAAATTAATATTCTGTTTTGATAGTTTAGGACTTGAAGTTTTATGACTTCGTGCCATGACTTATGATGTAATACTTGATAAACCGCTCTAGGAATTCTGAGGGAAGAATTTTTGTCTCCTATTTTACTTCATTGCAATTTGCAAAGAAAATCCATATTAAAGGATTATATTTCCTTGGAGCTTGAATGTACTTGGTAATAATGCCCGATCATGCATGTTGATACAACTCTTGTGTTCTTTCTTGTACAACTGTTAGTTTCTGAAGTTTTCATGCATTCTGTGAACTGCAGGTCACTTGATGGAAAAGATCGAATCTGAAAATTTGCTTCACAGAGCTTTCAGTGTCTTTTTGTTTAACTCAAAGCATGAGTTGCTTCTTCAGGTATTTTTCTTGGATCACGCTAACTGAAATTTACGGTGCTGGCAGCGTTCAGTTTAGAGTGGTCATTCATAAGATGTTCCATAGTAGCAGGGTGCATCCTGAGAATCTCGAGTAATAATAATAGAATATGAAGAGGGAACGACTGTCTTTGCAATTGGCGGCAATGATCTTTCAATTGATCTTTCTGGACAGTTTTTCTTTATGAGCGTCGTTAAATAATAGTGTTTAGCATACTCATTTATGTCTGTCTTTCTATGCAGCAACGTTCTGCAACCAAGGTAACATTCCCACTTGTGTGGACAAACACCTGTTGCAGTCATCCACTATACCGTGAATCTGAGCTTATTGATGAGAACTCTCTTGGTATATTTTTCTATTTATCATGCCTTTGAGAGTCAATTTTACTTGGCCTACTGTGACTTGCTCTAATAGTTTTTTTCCTTCTCCATTTTGTTTCCAGGGGTACGAAATGCTGCTCAAAGGAAGCTTTTGGATGAACTCGGTATTCCTGCTGAAGATGTGCCTGTTGATCAGTTTATCCCGTTGGGTCGCATGCTGTACAAGGCACCTTCTGATGGCAAGTGGGGAGAACATGAACGTAATATTCCAACTTGGGTTACTCTACATTTTTTACGATTAACGTTCTTTGCAGTTGATTACCTTCTCTTCACTGTCCGAGATGCATTTGTCAGACTGGTCGTGATGGTCAAACAAATTGTCTTGTTTCAGAATTTTCTGTTCACCCTGTGTGTGTGTTTTGTTGTATTTGCAGTTGATTACCTCCTCTTCACTGTCCGAGATGTTAATGTGCATCCGAACCCTGATGAGGTAGCTGATATCAAGTACGTAAACCAGGAGGAGCTGAAGGAGCTGTTGAGAAAGGCAGATGCCGGGGAGGAAGGTCTGAAGCTGTCACCTTGGTTCAGACTCGTCGTGGACAACTTCTTGTTCAAGTGGTGGGACCATGTTGAGAAAAACACCATCAAGGAAGCTGCTGACATGAAAACCATCCACAGGTTGACTTAAACTGAGTCTTCTGGGAAACCTTGATTGTGGCTTTATTATAATTAGTGTTTTATTTTCCCTGTTCCAATTTGGACTCATAAGGCGTTCCCATAAGCGGACTTTGTTGTTATTGTTGTTAAATGCCGTGCTTTTGTAATGTAGAACTGATGAATCAATAAGAAACTTTTCGCCTCTTTCATCATGAAACAGGTTCACAAATTTCTTTTCTCCATGTTTGGCCCAGCAGGCCAAGAATTTGCTATCTAATCCTGCTAAGAGACGAGGTTACTTGCCCTGTTGGGGAGAAACTTTTCAAACCTGAAATTCCATGGTGACGCTCTCTCAAATCAACCACGCACTAACTTATGGTTTAACCTTTCTCATATGGTAATGCATTGGTTTGAATACCGTCGTTGTGACATCCAGTAAAAATTGGTGCCACCATCATATATCTGTTTCTGTATAACAATGTAGTTCACATCTGGGGATCTCTTATCCCACATCGACTAATGCAAGAAATTTACCCCTGCTTATATCGACCGACGAAGGGGCAATTTGGGTACCTTGGGGTGCCGGGCTGGGATGTACGCGTGTACCGCAACCCTAAACCATGCCCCGATTATTCGGGTAAAACCAGTAAGGGGTCTTTATCCGGTGTTTCCCCCGTGCGGCCAAAAAAAGAAACCACGACGCCTCGCGCTGTATATTCCCGCGTGGGTAAAAAAAGCCCTCGAGAGGTTTGAAGGTGGTGCTGCTGACTCCTGTTGTTTGTCCTCTCTTGGGGTTTGCCCAGGTGTCTCGCGGTTACTTGTTGTCCTCACCTCTCGTGGCACCCCGCCCCCGTTTTATTCTTTTTTATTTGTGAACGCCCCCCGACCCTTTTTTTTCCTCGCCCTGATGAATCAAATCATTTCAAGAGAAACTTCTTTGTTTTTTTTTTTTTTTTTTTTAAGACAAACAAAGTAAATTTCATTTAAAGAGATGGGTAATACAAGATAAGGACTACTCCAAAAAAGAGTCCAAAATAGCCAAGCAAAAGCCCAACTCCATAAACGAAAACAACAATGAGAATGGCCCAAAGTGAGCAACCCATAACAGCAACCAAATCGAAAAACCTAGACAGCCACCTCCACCAAAACAGCTGCACAGCCACCGCATATCCGTCACCACCACCCGGAAGAAGGGACAAAGAACCAAATGGATGAACGGAAAATGGGGGTAGGCAAGCTACCCGCGCTGGGAGCGCTCCCATAATCCTACCAAATAGTGCAAAATGCGCTTTAAAAGGGTAGCAGGTAAAAGTTCACGATGAGGAGCGATGTTTGGAGAGGAACAAGGCAAAGAAAACATATATGAGATAAACACAAGAAAGACTGAGACCAAGTTCATAGCAACCTGAGACACAAAATGCTCAGACAAAAAACAAACGGAAGCTAAAAGCAAATACAAATAAACGAAATCTCCAACCATGGTGGCTTAGAGAGGGAAAAGCTGAGGTGGAGATGGAGGAATAGAGAAAGATGGGGACGGCGGGAGGAACATGAGAGATGGGAAAAACTGGAGGAAAGAGATGGAGAGAAGGGGAGAAAGTAAGGAAACAAGGGTGGAAAAAAGAGAAAGAGGAAGAAGGGCGAAAATCAGGGAGAGATGGGGGATAGGGATGAAAAAGGGGTGGACGGGAGAGGAAGAGAGAGAAGGGCGAGGAGGGAAGGGTTAGGCTGCCGCTGACCTTAAGCCGGAGTAAGAGGCCAACAACAGAGAAGGGTTCAGAGGATCGGGGCTTTACTTTGGGGGAGGGAGATGGCACAAAGTCATAGGCAAGCTCTTATATATATATATATATATATATATATATATATATATATATATATATTTGTGAAAAACTTCTTTATTGAAGCTTAAATTTCACTAATTGTATGAAAGAAAAACTAATGAAAAAGGTTTGAAAACTTTGAGTTTTAACGATAAGAACAAAATAAAGGGTAAAGTGAATAGTACCAGTATAGACTTTTTAGTGTAAAAATGTGATTTTTCGTTAAAGTTAACAGTACCGGAAGTTTTTCGTTCAATAAAATCACACTTCTAATGGATTTTAACTGTTTTAAAAAAAAACTTACAAGGCTAAAATTGTCAAAATATAAATATGCATATCCACCATATAATTTCAATCTTTCTATTTTATTCCTCGTGTTGTGATAAATCCATGACAAAATGAATCTTTCTACGTTATCATCCTGATGAATTCCTTCGTATAATTATTAATACCACGAATAAATTAATGAAGGAAAATTTTATTTGAATCCATATAATCTTTTTCTACACCAAACTTACTCTCTACACTCATATTATTTTTAATCAAACTATCAATATCTCTTTACACCCCAATTTACTACCTAAAATAACCTCACAAACCCAATTAAATTTATCTTTACACCCATTTAAAAAATAAAAACCCAAAATCAGTATTCATGAATGTTTTTACAATTTATGACCTTGAAATATGAAATGAATGGTTTACTAGAAATATATTGCAATAAACTGTGTTTTTGAGGATTGAAAGTATACTGCAATAAAACTTATTGGAAGTATATGGAAATTAATGAAATTGTGTTTTTGAGGATTGGAAGTACACTGTAGATTGAGTAGCAAGACGGTCACTAGTTCATCCTCATCCAGGCACATGCAAAAATTTAAGTATTGGCAAGTAAATAAATTCCCTCCTACCTTGTCATAGCATTGAAACTCTCGAGATCACCACGTTAGCTTCTGGGTAGGCAAGAAGGTTGTCTTAATTCACCCGCATGACCCATCCCAACTTCATTAATTTCAAGCTCACGAGATCGCCAGTATACTTTCCGTCCTAAAAAACACAATTTCATTAATTCCTGTACATTTTTTGTCTTATCTCAAGTCTTAGGGTTTGATCTTAAGATTGCGTAATGGTAAGTTATTGGGTGTGAGTTTATTGATAAATTTTAGTTATATTGTTAATTTCATCTTGTACTTAATGGTAATTATGCAATAGAGTAAAAGGGACAATTCATATTTAAATTTTAAATTAGGTGTAGAAATAAGTTATATGAGTTCGAATAAAATTTCTCGTTAATGAATTGTCGGTAAAGCAAACATAAAATATAATTAGGCTAAATTGGATTGTTCATCCCCGTGGTCATAGGACACTTGCATGATGACCCTGTGGTGAAAAAACTAGGAATTAAACCCTGTGGTCTAGAATGTTAGCAAATTTAGTCCAAAAGTAAGATTTCTGTTAAATGACTGTTAAAAGTTGGGTAAAACTGTATTTGTAGTTCCAATTGACATTGAATTGGGGTTTTTTTTTATTTAAAAAATTAAGCATTATTTTTTTTTTGTTAATTGTTATAAAAAAAATTATTTTAAATGTCAATTGAAACTGAAAATACAATTTTACCCATACTTTTAACAGTCATTTAACATAAATCTTACTTTTGGACTAAATTTGCTAACATTCTTGACCACAGAAGTTTAATTCCTAGTTTTTTCACTACGTGGATCATCATGCAAGTTTCCTATGACCACAGAGATGAATAATCCAATTTGGCCAATATAATTATGCATGTGTGAACATGAAGAAATATTTTAGTTGGCTCCGTACGCCGAGCAAACACCAAATATCATTATATGATTAAAAATGAAAATTGTCAAAATATCGCTCATATGTAGTGTTCTACAGGCACATCGATCGTGGATCACAATCTTTTTTCACATCTAAAAGTCATGATGTTATGCTCCACTTATTGTATCACCTGATTTAACAACTTTAAAAAGAGACAGCAACATCATAATTTTTAAGAAAAATTAATGAAAATAATTTAAAAATTTTGAGTTTTAATGATAAGAACAAAATAAAGTGTAAAATAAATAGTACCATAATTGACTTTTTATTGTAAAAATGTGTTTTTTCGTTAAAGTGAAGAGTACCGGGAGTTTTTGTTAAAGTTTCCTAATTATTTAGGAAGAAGACTGTATCTGCACGCGCTTTACAGCCTAACACAGATTCTCTCTCTCCCTCGAAGCTTCTTCCTTTTCCTTCCTTCCCTTCCCATAACTCACAACTGAACTACTCAGCTGTGTTCTCGTGTCCTGCTCCATCCTTCGAGGTAAAAACTTTTATTATTAGCCGCCAGATTTCACTCCTCGTTTTTCTTGATTTCTCTGATTCGCTTGTCTGATTGATCAAATTGGTGTCAAATTTCATTTTCTTGCATTTCTCTGGCATACAGGCCGACCCAATATGAAAATTAATCATCTTTTTTTGTTTTTGCTTTTTTCTGTGTTGATTTGGATCGTTGGGTGTATTGCTTGGATTTTATGAAAATTAGATCAAAACCAGCTCGTGTGATTAATAATTTAATCAATAATTAATAGAGTTAAGCTTTCTGATTAATCTTGTTAGTTGTTGTCCAGGTGTCTCGCGGTTATTTGTTGTCCTAACCTCTCGTGGCACCCCGCCCTTTTTTTATTATTTTTTATTTGTGAACGCCCTTGACACTTTGTTTTTTTGGAATTTTAACGAAAAATCACATTTTTACACTAAAAAGTCAAACCTGCTAATATTTACTTTATCCTTTATTTTGTCCCTATCGTTAAAACTCAAAATTTTCAAACCATTTTCATTAGTTTTTTTTTTTTCTCGCTCTCATGAATCAAATCATTTCATGAGAAACTTCTTTGTATTTTTTTTTTTAGACAAACAAAGTAAATTTCATTTAAAGAGAAAGATAATACAATATAAGAACTACTCCAAAAGAGTCTAAAATAGACGAGCAAAAGCCAAACTCCATAAACGAAAACAACAATGAGAAGGGCCCAAAATGAGCAGCCCATAGCAGCAACCAAACCGAAAAACCTAGACAGCCACCTCTACCAAAACAGCTGCACCGCCACTGCAAATCCGTCACCACCACCCAGAAGAAAGGACAAAGAACCAAATGGATGAACGGAAAATGGGGATAGGCAAGCTACCCACGCTGGGAGCACTCCCATAATCCTACCAAATAGTGCAAAATGCACTTTAAAAGGGTAGCAGGTAAAAGTTCACGATGAAGAGCAATGTTTGGAGAGGAACAAGGCAAAGAAAACATATATGAGATAAACTCGGGAAAGACTGAGACCAAGCTCAGAGCAACCTGAGACACAAAATGCTCAGACAAAAAACAAACGGAAGTTAAAAGCAAATACAGATAAACTAAATCTCCAACCATGGTGGCTTGGAGAGGGAAAAGCTGAGGTGGAGATGGAGGAAAAGAGAGAGATGGGGACGGCATGAGGAACATGAGAGATGGGAAAACCCAATTAAATTTATCTTTACACCCATTCAAAAAATAAAAACCCAAAATCAGTATTCATGAATGTTTTTACAATTTCTGACCTTGAAATATGAAATGAATGGTTTACTGGAAATATATTGCAATAAAACTGTGTTTTTTGAGGATTGAAAGTATACTGCAATAAAACTTATTGGAAGTATATGGAAATTAATGAAATTGTGTTTTTGAGGATTGGAAGTACGCTGCAGATTGAGTAGCAAAGACGGTCACTAGTTCATCCTCATCCAGGCACATGCAGAAATTTAAGTATTAGCAAGTAAATGAATTCCCTCCTACCTTGTCATAGCACTTAAACTCTCGAGATCACCAAGTTAGCTTCTGGGTAGGCAAGAAGGTTGTCTTAATTCATCCGCATGACCCATCCCAACTTCATTAATTTCAAGCTCACAAGATCGCCAGTATACTTTCAGTCCTCAAAAACACAATTTCATTAATTCCTATACATTTTTTGTCTTATCTCAAGTCTTAGGGTTTGATCTTAATATTGCGTAATGGTAAGTTATTGGATATGAGTTTATTGATAAATTTTAGTTATATTGTTAATTTCATCTTGTACTTAATAGTAATTATATAACAAAGTAAAAAGGACAATTCATATTTAAATTTTAAATTAAGTGTAGAAATAAATTATATAAGTTCGAATAAAATTTCTCATCGGTAAAGCAAACATAAAATATAATTATGCATGTGTGAACATGAAGAAATATTTTAGTTGGCTCCGTACGCCGAGCAAACACCAAATATCATTATAATTAAAAATGAAAATTGTCAAAATATACATCGATCGTGGATCACAATCTTTTTTCACATCTAAAAGTCATGTATGCTATGCTCCACTTATTGTATCACCTGATTTAACAACTTTGAAAAGAGACAGCAACAGCATAATGCTTTAGGAAGAAGACTGTATCTGCACGCGCTTTACAGCCTAAACACAGATTCTCTCTCTCCCTCTCTCTCTCTCTCTCCCTCAAAGCTTCTTCCTTTTTCTTCCTTCCCTTCTCATAACTCACAACTGAACTACTCGGCTGTGTTCTGGTGTTCTGGTGTCCTGCTCCATCCTTCGAGGTGACAACTTTTATTATTAGCCGCCAGATTTCATCTCCTCGTTTCTCTTGATTTCTCTGATTCGCTTGTCTGATTGATCAAATTGGTGTCAAATTTCAATTTCTTGCATTTCTCTGGCATACAGGCCGACCCAATATGAAAATTAATCAACTTTTTTTGTTTTTGTTTTTTGTTTTTCTGTATTGATTTGGATCGTTGGGTGTATTGCTTGGATTTTATGAAAATTAGATCAAAACCAGCTCGTGTGATTAATAATTTAATCAATAATTAATAGAGTTAATCTTGTTAGTTCTGAATCTGTGTGGTGATGCGAACAACATAAAGATCCAATCGTTGCGTGTGTTTGTGTGGATGAGGTTTGGCTTTTTTCCGCGTTCAGAATCCATGCTTGGTCTTAACTTGTGAAATTTTGTATATGATTTATCGTAATTAGTTTGAACTTTTATAGGAGATTGAGATTTGAATATCTTGTGTGCATTTTTCTGTAATTTGAGTGAATGCAAACATGTACGATTTACAATATCTTCTCTGCCTTCTATGTTCTTGAAAAGGGCAACTTGATACAAAATGCTGCTGGTTTCAATTGTTTCCGGATTTCGAAAACCATGTCTCGGCTGGGGGAAAACGAATGTTAGCTTAGTTACATCCCAAGTTTGCATTTTTTTGAAATGGTTGATACTTGTTTGGTAATTATAATGGGGGTCTGGTTTTATCAATTCGGTCTTCTTTCCCTGGGATCTTGCTGTGTATATTTTCCCTTTGTTGCTGTTGCTGGAAATCGATGTTTGTTGCCAACGAAAATTCTTGAGCTTTTGCATTTTCTCATTTTGAAGGCAAATCTGCAGTGTTTCTCTTCAACTCTACAAAATTTGTATTTTTTGACACTCTTTGTTGAAGAAAATTTTCCGAAGATGAATTAGATTTTGACTTAAACTATTAATCGGGTTTTTATACCATCCGTCTCTTGATGCTTCCGTGAATCCTAGTGTGTGCAAGACTAACATTACAATCTTTGCATTGCAACCACTTATTGTCTCATATAATGCATACTTCTGTAACATTTAGTATTTGCGGGATTCTTATAATTTCGTCTTCTCCAATCAAACCTCTCATGGCATCCTCCATGTGCTTTGCTATAACATTTTCCGGTGAAAAACCTTCTATATGTTGCCTGTGATCATTCTAAGTCTAACTCATCGATCCTTGTCTTGCCCCGAAGGTGCTGGGAACAAATGGCCTTGGTTACAACTGCTGAAGTTTGCGATGCGCACTCTCAGTTGATTGGGAGTGGTGATCTTCGGGTGCTTGAGCCAATATTCCAGATATATGGCCGGCGACAGGTCTTCTCTGGACAAATAGTTACCTTAAAGGTGTTTGAAGACAATGTCCTCGTTCGTTCCTTTCTCGAGGAGAAAGGCAATGGAAGAGTTCTTGTTGTGGACGGAGGTGGAAGCAAGCGGTGTGCAATATTGGGAGGCAACCCTGTGGTTCAAGCTCAGAATAACGGCTGGGCAGGTATAGTGGTCAATGGCTGCATAAGAGATGTCGACGAGATTAACGGTTGCGACATTGGCGTGAGAGCTCTGGCGGCCCATCCCATGAAAGCCAACAAGAAAGGGATCGGCGAGAAGCAGGTACCAATAAGCATTGCCGGGACAAGGATCTGTGACGGGGAATGGCTTTATGCAGACACCGATGGAATATTGATTTCTCGTACCGAGTTATCTGTCTGAATCTTAAGCACACCATTTGGAAGGAAAACTTGTTTCCTGCAACCGTTGTATACAACACGCTGTTGCACGAAATGTATGTCTTTCTTTGTTTCAATTGCTAAGCTGTTGTGTCTTTGCCTCATTTTCCAAATTTCTACTGTATTAAGCAAAATTACGTGATATCGAACTCTTAACTATGTTTTAGTTGGTTTATCAATAATGATAATCTTTTGATCAGTAAACTTAGTCATATATATTAACAGAAGGCAACAAGTACATAATTTTGCATAGCTTACGTCGCCTCATAAACAGACCGATTCTGGGTCCCCAACATCTTCGGCAGCAGCAACACTTGCATCGTCTCTTGTAATGCTAGTTGTTGAGGCTCCAGATGAGCCAACAGCTTC